GTCTCCACCCCAGCAGGCCCCGCTCACTGGTTCTGCGGCTCGGTCCCAGCTCCCCTCGCTCCTTCCTTCCCCAGGTACCAGCAGCCCCTGAGGCCGGGGGGCCCGGGGAGGCAGGCGGCCGATGGCCCGGGCAGAGGCAGCATCCTGGGGCCAGCCGGGCCGCGGAGCCGGCAGGAGGCGCTGGGGCTGCTGGAGGCAGCGGTTGTGTATCGGGCAGGTACTGGGGGTGGGCGCAGGGGGGCAGGTACTGGGGGTGGGCGCGGGGGGCAGCGTGGGGGGCAGCGGGGAATCAGCCAGACCCTGCTGTGCAGGGAGATGGGGCTGCTGAGGCCTGGGCGGGAGGGCGCTGGCTGCTCGGCGAGTGCGGCTACGGGCTGGGTGCCTGGGTCTGGGGCTGGGTCTTGGCTGGCTTTAGCCCAAGGAGAGGGGGTTTGGGACGCTGGGGAGGGCTGCCCGGCCTTCCCTGACCTAGCCTGTTCCTTTGTTTCAGGGCCACTGGTGGCCGTCAGCAAGCCCCCGGGCCTGGCTGTGACAGGTGAGTGCTTGGGGTTCACTTCTCCCACATGTGCCGGGCCTGGAGGAAGGGGCTTGTCCCTCCACTCCCGGCCTGAGGGGGAGCTGGGGGGGGTTCCCTGGGCTCCCGCAGCCCCAAGAGCAGGAGGAGTGACACGGGTCGGGGGGTTGGGCCGGGTCTCCATGCTCATGGCTTCTTCCCTGTGCCCCCCTCCCAGGCAGTCCAGGGCAGCTGAGTTTGGTTTCGCTGCTCCCAGATCTGAGCCAGAGGCTGAGTCTCCCTCCTGAGCTCCATGTGGTCAAAGCAGCTGGGAAGTAAGTGAGTGGGGAAGGGCCAGGGATTGGCTCCCCATGGAGAGGAGTGGGTGCTTGGTCATTGGTTGCTGGGGCGGGGCAGGTGAGGGAAGGAAGGGGGCTGGCTGGCTGGGTGGGGGGAATGGGAGGGCATGGGCCTGGTTGATGTGGGTAGGGTAGGGCCCTGAGGAAAGGGGTGGGGAGGGACCCTGGGGGGTGGAGAAGGCCGCTGGGGGGCAGCAAGGGGCGGGAGGGGCCATGGGGGGTGGGGAGGGTGCAGGTGGGGTGGTCAGGGGAGGGAGGGGCTGGTTCTGGTGGGGCAGGGAGGCCAGGGGAGGGAGGGAGGGACCCTGGGGGGGTGGGGAGGGCAGGGGTGGGTGCTGGGGAGCAGGGCGCTGCCTCTCCATAGCTCAGCGCTGTGTTCCCATCTCCGGCACTGTCTGTGCCATGGGACTGAATCTGATGCCCCCCCTCCAGGGACAGCTCTGGCCTCGTGCTTCTCTCCAGCTGCCCTGGCACCACGCAGCAGCTCCATGCGTTCTTCACGCAGCTCCGGAGAGCAGGGCGCCCCCCCGCCACTTACCGGTGAGTGAAACCCCCTCCCCTGCCTACTTACTGGTGAGTGGGCCCCATCCTGCAGAGTGCTCCTGCCCCCTGCTGGCAAGTGGAGTGTCCCCCTCCCACAATGGGGCGCCTGGCCGTGTGCCAGAGACTGCGCTGTCCTGGAGCCCCAGGGCGCTGACTCGTCCCGCTCATCTCCCGGAGCCCAGCCACCTTGTAACCCCCTCTCCCTCCCCCCAGCGCTGTCACTGCCGGGGTCCCAGCTGCCGTGGAGGGGGAGATCCGCACAGGACTGAAGCTGGAGCAGGTTGGGGACCTGCAGCTGGTAAGGAAAGGGTTCAGTCGGCGGTGTGTCCTGGGGGCAAAGGGCTGTGGGGCCCCAGGGAGGGGATGGCTGCAGGGCCTGGCCAGTCCCTCTGGCTCCAGCCTCTCCCTGAGCGCCTGGCTCTGCTC